GTGTCTGGGCCAGGTTGTCAGGCAGGAGATCTTCMTGCGATATGCCAAACTACTCTTTTGTACCGAGCTACCCTACAAGTGGCGAGCTGCCCGGAGGAGCTATGCCGAGCTCCTTGGGCTATGCTAAGCTGCCTGGCTCCTTGGTGGCGAGCTCCTTGGAGAGCTGCCTAGCTCCTTGGCGAGCTCTTTGGTGAGCTACCGAGCTTGTGGGGTATGCCGTTATGGTTCTGGTGGGCGTCTTTTGGGTTGCCAGGTCGGCCAGGTCGGATCATGTGCCGAGCTGATCCAGGTCGGCCAGGTCGGATCATGTGCCGGGTTGATCCAGGTCGGCCAGGTCGGATCATGTGTCGGGCTGATCCAGGTCGGCCAGGTTGGATCATGTGCCGGGTTGATCCAGGTCGGCCAGGTCGCACAGGCCGCGCGCTAGGCCGCGCCAGGTCGGCCAGGTCGGTGCCCCGGCGGGACACTGACTTGGTAAGTTATTGCCTGGGTGTCGCCTAATTGTCACGAGGTACCATGTGTCGCAATTTCACTGGAGGGCCAAATCTGCCCTCATCAGGTAATATTTATAAAACTTAAATTATAATAATAAATTTTGAACTATATTGTCATTGTCATCATTATTATTGAAAATCAAGTTTTAAGCATTTTATGATTGTAATTGATATGTATGTATGTATATAATTACAATTTTTGTTTATGTAATTATGTCACATTTATAATTTATAATGTTGAAAAAAGCATAACTTAACATACAGTACTGTATATATTAAGTTCAACAACATATATAGCTAACTAATTAGATTCTTAACATTATGGAATGTTTTGCTTTTTTTAAAGAATAAGTTCCATTTATTTTGGGTAAGAAAGAACAAATTCTAGGGGTAGACATGAAACTGACCTTAGAACCGCCAAGGCCCAAACCAACTCTGGAGCAAATCTTGATAGGATAGGTTCTGCCTTGGAACCAAATCGAACCAATTCATGCTCACTCCTAATAGTATAGAAAGAAGCCATGTTGGCTTGTTGGTTATAAAAACAAATCAAAGCCATAAGTTTTTATTTTCAAAATTAAAACAAAAAACTAGTTCTTGAAACTTTGGATTCAAATACGTGTTTTCATCTGGTATTTAATACTATAAATCATATAATTTTTATACTTTAAAGTTAATTTGTTTCTGTTTTCAAAATTAAAATTTTGATGATTGCAAAAAATATGTATTGTTTTTTAAAACAAAATCAATTTGTTTTTGCTTTTCAAAACAAAAGTAGAAATTAAGAGCATATATTTATATTTTTAGTGATGTGATGATTTTAAAAACAAACGAAAACAAAAACATTTATGTTGTATAGAACACCCATTAAAAGAGTGTTCTCTACTATGTATATTTTTGCTGATCTCGTAATTAATTGTTGTTTTTGTTTTTGAAAGGAAAAGGAAAACCATACATATTGACCAACACCTCCTGGATCTAGTTCCTAGAATTCTCATTTGATTTCTACATCCTAGAATACCTAATGATACTATACTTGTTGCCTATCACTATCTTACTAATTTTTAATTTTCATTCTGCAAAATTATCTAAACCTCCCTTGAACTTATCAAAATATCAACACTGTATGAATCTCTCTCTCTCTCTTAAAAGGATTTAAAAGAATGAAGATTGTGTCGGCCACTTAACATTAACATAAGTAAACAGCATCTGAGAGTGGTGGACCATGCAGGTCTGTCCAGATTCCAGAGCTCAATCTCATTGTTTTTCCAGATATGGGTAATTAAATCCACGATGTAAATTGTCCCACGTCACACTTCATGCTGATGATTTTTTTGGTATGCATACACGTGCTAATGTAAGCTTACGCTAGACGGTGAACGTGCCATGAATCCATGATCAGGAGAGAGAGGTGTTGTTAACCGTCAGAATGGAATATCGTTTATGGTTCATACTTTATGCCAGTAGGTAGCGATTATTTATTTTATTGGTTTGAAGGAAACCAAATCGACAAGAGTTACATTCCCAACAAACGGTTGAAACTTGAAAGGTGCTGCCTGCGCTCACGACGAGTCCGGATTTAAAAGTACCTACTCAGGATTATTTAAGAGTACGGTTACATGTTATACTTTCTTATTTAATTCACAAGGCTTGGAGACAGAATCCCAACGGGAGAGAGAGAGAGAGAGAGAGAGAGAGACATTGCCCATTTGCCTACCCTATGGGTAATTGGGTATGGCTATGGACCCTTCAACGCTTATCCTCTTTCAAGCAAATCAGGACCCTCTAATGGATCAGTCCTCCACGGTGCTTCGCCTGTGAAGCGATCAGCGGCGTTCTTCGCAACATCGAACAGTCAATTTAGTGATTTACGGTTACCTAAACAAAACACACAAGGCTTTTTCATGATTATGTCTCCTGGTCTATGACACGTACTGCATGAACTCCGAATCCTTCTCAAGCCCTTCCATCGTTTCGGGGGCTAAGCACACCTCCAGGTCAACGCTTCCTCCGCCTTCCCGACCGGGAAACGCCGAAATCTTACCGTCAAATTTGTTCGCTCTCCCGCTTCGAACGGCCAACGGTCGGCCCCACCCAAAATCATTGTCGTACATCGGGAATCTCGGTGAACTCCCCATAGTGAGCATTGCACCATCGGAGTTTCCTAGCGGGAAGCAGCGCGGGTTCTTCTCCCAGTCCTCCACTACCCGCCGCACTGCCGCGTCGTTGTACGCGATTACATTTCCATGCAGCAAAAGCGCGCACGCCCGCAGATTCCCCGAAAGTATCTCCCCAGCAGAAGCGATCGTTGGAATGCTCTGAATTGCGTTTCCGAAGTAGTACGGATCGACCTTGGGTTCAATTCGCAGACGACAGTTCACTGCCATTCGGAATGTGGTTGGCTTGGAAGGAGGGAGCTTTCTTGCTCGTGTGACCGAACGCCATAGTTGGGCGCAGAGAGACTGGAAGGATGAAACCTCGACCGTCTGATCGGCGGTTTCGGTAACTTGGGAGTTCGAAACGGCGTTCCTTAGCCAGCTGCCGATAACAGAAGTTATCTTCCCGTTGGGATTCTGGTTATTATCACTTTGGGGTTTCCAGCCATCGTTACTTTGCTTCCCCAAAATCTCAACCTCGACTGTTAATCTGTTGTCTACCCATTTGTTAGCTCTGGATTTCAGCTTCAGTATCGCTTCTCTGCTGAAATGAAAGATCCTCTCACTTAGAGGGACGTCGGAAGAGAACGTTATCTGGGGACCGCCCTCAGGGAATCGAAGCACCGCAAGAGATCCGTTGACAAAATTGCGGCGAAAATCCGGTGGCCTAGTGAGTTTGTTGACACCCCTGCATACCTCGGCAAAGGCGTTGAAGAAGTTCCAGAAGGACGTACCGTCAGCCACCGCGTGGTTGACGGTGCACCCGATGAAGATTCCGTCAGCGAGCTCAGTCACCTGGACGGCGGCTATGGGCATGAAATGGCCGTCGTAGCTGATGGTGCGGTCAAAGGCGAAGAACTCCTTAACGGAGTCCGGCACGTGGACGGGAGAGAGAATGTCACGAATGGTGAGGTGAGCAGCGTTGGCATGGAGAAAGTCGACGCCAGCATCATTGCAGGCGATGTAAACGAAACCGTCATCGTCAGTTGTGAGACGGCCAGCGAGGGCAGGAAAATATATCAGAGTCTTGGAAAGGCCGCGTTTAAGCAGAGAGAGAAGAGAATCGATGGGAAGAGGAGGACGAGTGTAAAAAAGGCCCTTCTGTATATAATGGCAGGAGAGCATAGGGAGATCAGAGACAGAAAGCTTGAGTAATCCAAGCGACGATTTCTGTTCTGGGAACACAGTGCATTTGGAGATGATCGTAAAAGAAGATGAAGAAATCATTTTATTCTTCTCTCAATATCTCACCCACACACACTCTCTCTCACTGTTCTCTGCCTTTCTCTCAGAAGCCCTGAGAGCACTGGGGAACGATAAGGGAGGGG